ATATGTAGTCACTATACATACACGGTCTCCACACCTTATCTCGTTCGCGTGTACACACGAATTATACTCGCGTCGCGAAACTCCTGTCCTGTGATTGAACCTACGTCGGCAGGAATCTCGATGCTCACGAGGCGTGCAGGTCACGCGTATGTTCTCGCATAAGATTACGAGTCATAATCGTGCCTAGCATCGTAATTATAAACTATTAACTCACTATCGTAACTGTGCGCTTACAGGCAGGCTTGTATCAGATTCTTAACGTGGCTTTGTAATATAAGACTAATTAGAAACAATTGTGTGATAGTGAAACAATTGTGATATTACAGTAATAAATCAAATGAAATAGCATGTGGCTTATCAAAAAGTAATTATAACGATGAAATGATCAGCACATATTTTGAACTAATTAAAAAATAATAACGAAAAATATTTAATTTATTAAAAAAAATATAGCAACCGTGTATATCTATCCATATTATCAATGACGCAAAAAGTCATAATATAATTTTCTTTATATTTTGTACGAAACAAACTTAAACTATAGCTTGTTTAAAATCTTCAATCAATTATAATTTAACAATTATCAAATTCTGTTATAGTTTAATCCAGTAATATAGTAAGGTAACAAAACCTCATGATATCAAACAAGTTTTAACATTCTACTCAGGATTTCTTGCTATAATAGGAAGGCGATTAAGAAACTTCTATTTTGGTTAATAAATCTCTACTCATTTATGGTTTCAGTTAGTTCAGTATTTCAACTTCCGCACCCATATGAATAAAGATTTCAGCGAAATCGGCAGTAGAGCAATTTAGAAAGCTCGCGACATTGCCAACGAGTTTATGTCGGCATAATAACATATTATTTACATTGTATTATAGTGAATTTGGTCACTCGTACTATAGGTATTAGATCAGTATAATAATTTAATTGATAAACCATAAATTAATATAGGGCAATTAGGAATCCGCGCTGTAATCGATGCACTTAAATTATTAGATGAATCAGTAGATAGATCAATATACATTAAATTATATAAAATAAAAAGCAAAGATATAATATAATCAACTTTGATAATGAAATAATACATGTAAATTCCATTAAATGACATAAAAATAACGTTACTGGATACTTAATTGTTTAAAATATTTATATCTATGCTTTTTTACATTTAATTTTGCTCATTTCATGTATAAAAGCTTTTAGTATGCACTAATCTAGTGTAATGCAAGAAATCAAATTTACTATTAGATAATTAGAATTATTGATGATTACATCATTTTCATATATGGAAATAATTTCTTAATATCTCCCGATTATTTCCATTGCAATTATGAAAGTTTAAAGTTCATCTCTTTTATTATTATAGTGTTTTTATAGTATCATGAAGGCTAAAGTTTCATATAAATCATCCACTAACGATGAATAATTATAAAATCTCTAACTTAATTTTATTTAATTTATATGCGTAATTTTTATCTGTCTAAACTAAATTCTCTTGTCGCGTGTAATACGTTGTTACGTATTAGTGCAATTAGATCGCAAATTATTTGTTAAAGAAATTAAATTTAATAAATAAAAATATTTGTCAAGCTCGCGTTTAATATAATTTAATATCGTAAGGATTTGGTAATGGAATAGCATGGTCGTCAATCACGGTTTACCCGAAATCACTTTCGTCCGAGTTGCTCTCACACGTCGCTCAAGCCTAAGGATAAACGCTCTTGCGAGTGTGAGACCCAATGATGGAGCGTTCTACAAAGCTCTCGAAGTTACCGTCGCAACTTTGGACTTTATAGCCGCGCCGCGCCGAATTAGCCTCGCTTCATTTCACAGCGTGAGGTCAAGTAGAACACCGGAGGAGGTCTGGATATAGGGTCACGTAAACGTTAAGTGGCCGATTCTTCGTATTACGATAACACGATGAACCGTCTCGTATAAGTTTTCAGAGATGCCTGTCGACGTACGCGATCCCAAATATATTTCCTCTCCCGTACTTTAATTCTCCTTGCACGAATATCTCTTCCGATCGACACGTTACATCCAAAACGACGGCCGCATCGTAAACGCGGGCGGCTAAATTATACCACAATTGTTATTTACCTGGCACAACTTTGCGTTCCTTCGCGTAGAAACGCATATGTCTTTTCAATCTCTTCAAATTTTATACGCTCAGACTCATGAGAATAACGAGGACTAACGTAGCATTTCAAATTGATCTTTATATGCTCTGTTCAAAAAGTATGCAAACATCAAAAACACTTCTTAATATTTCTAATAACTAATTAACAAATTATTCGTTGAAATTAAGAATTTGACAATAAGAAAAGCGCATTTTATGAGTTATTAATATTTTTTATTTCTCGAATATCTGTTTTGAAAATGCAAGTAATATTAAGTTTTTAATTATCTTTGTATCTTTAAAAAATATGAGTATGGATTTAAAACCATGGTAATGTTCATATAATTCTCACCATGTTGATGTTAATATTTACGCCAACAGGATTTAAATCCTCCAATATTTATATTGACATTGGCGTGATGTTAAAATCCATGATGTTAAAATCCATGATATTAATCTGCACCATATTGATAATACTTAACACTAATATGATGAGAATTATTATACATACAGATACGTTATTGTGTATTAAATCCATACTTTTAAGAGTGTATAATATCTATTATTATTATATTTATTTCATTATTAAATTGTTAAATTTACTCATTTTATTTTTATGTTATTTTTGGAATATTTTTGCAGCCAGTGTGACACAAGAGCGTATCTCTGAAAGAAACCGAGTATATTAAAAAATTGTAATTAATTTTAAAAGTACATTATATTTACTAAAATGCATTTACTTAGTTATGGCATCCAATTACCATTATCATTAATAATAACCTGTCATCATGTTTTTTTATAAAATTTTCATAAATATAAAAATGACATTGATCAATGGATTGGCCTTCCCAATTTCCAGACGCAAATCCGATTAAAAATATCTGATCAATCATAAAGATGAATATGCTTTGAGAAATACGAATATTTGTTTTGAAATAGTTATCTTTGGCATTTACCCAAGCATTTTTGGTTTTTAACCAAATCTTTAATTGAAAATCGTAGAAAGCATGTCATAACTAAGTAAATGCATTTTAGTGAATGTAATATATTTTTAAAATATAACTTTATTTTTTTTAATATACTGTGTTTCTTGCAGAGAACTCTTGTGTCATATAATGCTAACTGCATATATTACATACAAATTTTTATTTAAAAGATACATTAATAATAACTCAGCGAATTGCATATCAGTTTTCGGAGCAATCATAAAAATACAATAAAAAAATACGCTTACGTGAATCCTCGTATTTCTCTAATATATCTGTGAACACAAACGACTACCAATCTAATAAGTCACCTGTGTCGTACCAGGACTTCACGTTGGATTTTTACTTTCGACAATTCTGGACGGATCCACGACTCGCGTTCAAGCCGCGACCGGGCGTCGAGACGCTCAGCGTCGGTTCAGAATTCATCAAGAACATTTGGGTACCCGACACCTTCTTCGTCAACGAGAAGCAATCGTACTTTCACATCGCTACCACCAGCAACGAGTTCATTCGCATTCACCACTCGGGAAGCATCACGCGTAGCATACGGTGAGTATAACATTAATTAAGTACAAATTTATATCCATAGCTCTCACAATTATATACATATATATATATATATATATATATATAATACATACATACATACACATATAACTTTTACGTAGTAATATTTTTTAAGTGTCAAATTCTTTTTTATTAATTAGTAAATCCAAGTTTAAAAGTCATCTAAGCGGATCTTTTTTTCTACCATAATGACGACGCTTAATTTAAATGATAAAAAAAGAAAAAATATATGATATGCTACGTTAGATAAATAATAAAGGTTAAAAGGTCTTTCTTTCTATATTCATGAGTCAATTAAGTAAATTTAATCCTGTTACTTTCATTGTCCGAGAGAAAACGTACATGATATTTTTCGCCGACTGTAAATCGAGCTTCTCATTATCCTCTATCATCATAGAACATTCGTGACACTTCTGGGACCAATTGTATTCGGCACAACAAATTTGTTCTTTGTAGCGGCCTCCACCCCTTCTTGTCTGACACAACTCGTATCATTTCTCGTATTTATCTCCCTTTCGAGCACCTAGGAGTGTTCTGGTATTAACGCGCCAGCTATATTCAGGCGATCCATGCATACCTAACTTGCACTCCCTCGCGCAATATCGTTCCATTATATTACATCCTCGACTTCCGGATCGGAAGTACCGAATCGAGCCGCTCGCTGTCGGGAACGGAGGAAGAATATCGATGAAGCAACGAGCGCGCGCTCATTTGCGTGAATAATTCTTCCCTGCTTCTCTCAGAGCATAAGTCATCGATCACTGTCTACATGTATGAATCATGCGATACGTATGTCTGTAGAGTTTCGTATAATACGTCTCATCGACAAGACAAGAATAGTATTAACGGTACGCATCGAATCGATATGGATTGGTTTTCATATCCGTTTATCCTGATGTGACTCGGGCGTAATGAGGTCTACTACGAATTAATTTCTGCACATTGATTCAACGTTACTCGGATGCAAATGGATTGGCATTTGTATATCATGAAATATTTTGTTAAGAAGCAATTGTTAACAAGTTTTGCTTGAATATGTTTCAGCTTAACG